GATAATTTCTGATAAAAGCAGTGTGAGAAAATTTAGCCACAAATCTTTAGTAAAGGCCCTATCATATTGAAATGTTTTAGAGAACTTATGCCAATCTACGATTTTCTTCAACACTGAGAATGTCTGTTTAAGATGGAAAAGAACAAATTACTTGATATGGACATACTGTAAGGCTCACAATTAGATCAAATATGTAACTTACATCAGTAATTCATTCATAACTAAATTTTTACAACTTGGCATAAGTTGTCTAAAATGGTGTATAATGTATATTTTTTAGTAGCATAGAAGTTATCTGTAAATCTGTCATGGTTTTGTAATCCTGCTCATGTAAACACCTGTTCACTTTACATTTTCCCTGTCRTCTTCTGTAACCTTAGGTGAAATCACACCACATGGAATAGAACAAAGCCTGTAAAACACAAAGGTGGTTTGTTTTGAAGTGGTGTTTTGTACAGTTTTCATTATCAATCAGTGTCTTACCTACAGTAGAAATGACTCAAAACGTAATCCTTTATTTTCTAAAAAAAAGGACGACCAAATAAATTTCTTTCTTTCTTTTTTTTTTTTTTAGATAGGAGTGTTTTTACCTTTTAAGTGTTTTTAACTCCATGAGTAAATGGTGGCACAGAGGTTAGTGAAGGCAAGCATGTGATTAGCAGAGCACAGGTTTTAATGGCCGTACCATCACATAAAATTTGTGCGGAAAAGGTGAAGCACCCACCTGACTCCGGCCTGATTTGCTCCTCTGTGGGCCACTCCTCTCCCCCACATGTGTGCTCGTGGGGAAAATGGAGAGAATTTATTTCATGATAGGGAATTAATAAATGTGAAGGACCCCATCCATTGCATTGTCATATATGTTAAGTTGCACAAATTGTCCTTAAATTACATGGATTTTCCCCCACTTTGCTTGTATACAGACACACAGGGCAATCACACTGATTTTTTTCAGACACCGTTATCTCTGCCCCACGTTCTGCCTGTCCTCACGGCCGACAGACAGATTTCAACCCCCCCACCCCCCACCCCAGATTTTTTTTTGTGAAAATTACAATGGTCAAGATAAAGCCAAACGTCCAAAGGGCTGACTGCTGAATATGGGCACCAGTGACCCTTACAGCACTAAAAGGAAGAAGCAGGTAAATATAATGGATGGATGGATTGATGAAGTAAACATTATTATTGTTATTATTAAGATGGCAGAAAAACAATTTAGAATCAACAGTTTGTACTGTCAGTTAACTTGAAACACTCTGTGGTCATCTTCAGTTTTAGAGCTGTGTYCGAGTGAAATAATTTACATGACACAATGAGAATATTCAAAATACAAAGTTCTTTGCAGCTAATGACTCTTTACTTCAGAAATCAAAGTGGTAGTTCCACTAAAAAGTTCATTTCAAACATTTTGATGGGTAGATCCTTATCTTTCTTTCTCAGAACAAGTTGATCGAGGTCATTGCTCTTAATGTCCCACTGCACTTCAGTTAAAACTGKGCCCTTCACTGTGGATGCAGCCTTAAAGTGGTTAATGTTCAGTCAGAAAATGACTGGTTTGATGCAGTTTCCTCAGTCCAGTTGCCCACGTGGCTTTGGGGAAAGAGCTAAATTTCATATCTCTTTCAACATGTTTCTTAATTTAGAAAAAAGTGTTCACCAAATGAGTAATGTAGTCTAGTAGCAAAGCTTCTTCTTAGTGATGGCTTTACAACGACAGTGACAGTCAACTAAAGTTATAAAGTTAGATGTCGACAATTAAAAGTGACTCATGGAAATTTTGTAGATGTAGATGACGCGCTTGTCGATGACCTTTTTATAAAGTTTAACAGTGAAATTAAAGGCTTTAATATTTCAAGGAATTCCTTAGACTAAGAGTTTTATGCTAAGACTATTTTATGTTAAGAAATAACAAGTTAATAGCTGTTTTGGTTGAAACCTTGCAAACAAGGCAACCAAAAGCTTCCAGCTGAACTTTATGTCATGACAGAGGTCATTGATTTTTATGAAATCATCCATTGGTGGTGCTATTACTGCAGCCATGCATGTAGATTACTATCAAAATCATAGAATCTTCCCTTYTTCTTGCACGCTTCCTGCCTCAGCTTATGTCAGCTTTTGTGAAATCTAAGATATACAAATTATAGTTAAGTCTGTGGTGGTTTTGCAGCCAAGCAGAGTGGCACATCAGCCACTTCCCCCCAATGATATATTGTTATTTATAAGTCAGTGAAACAGAAGAGAAAAAGAAACAAACAGTTCACAAGCCAAAAGTCCCAAACCAAGGCTTTCGACTCCCAGTGGTCCACAACGTTCCGGTTTTCAAATTGCAGCTCAGTCCTGCTGTTTCATTTCTCTGTGGCATTTGAAAGGGAATGAAAGCATTTTTTCCGTTCCCTGAAGCAGGTCGGCAGCCCGGGAGGAAAAGTTTCTGTGGTAGCTTGTCTTCTAAGAACTGGACGGAGCCATCTGCCCGTCTCCTCCCTCTCCCTCTTCTAAGCATGTGGTTGTCAGACCTCTCATTTGTTGAAATGTCCCTCTTCGGCTCTGATGTCAAGACAGGAGCTATTTTAGAGGCAGGAGTTGGCTTTCAGCTGGTCAAAGGCAAAGCGGAGATTCAAAGACGTGGCAAMGAGCATGGGACAAGTGTGAAGAGATTAGAACTAACATGATGAGGGCAGAGGGGACAGGTGAAGAGTGAAAAGCAAAACCAAGAAATGACAAAAGAGGAGGGGGAAAAAGTCAGGAAAGTCCACATCTGTCTGTAGCTTCATTGTGTGTCGCATGTGGCGGTTGGCTGAGGAAATCTGGGAAAGCTGTTTTGCAGAGTTGTTTACAGCATGGTTTTTGTGTTTAGTTTTATAGAAATATAAGAAATAAAGATGGATGGAAGGGGTGGACCAGATTTAAGTCTGTGTGAACGTGGTGACAGCAGCATGTCTGCTTTTCTGAAACTCATAACTGGATCACTGTTTGAAACAGCTTGGTAATAACTGCTTTGATAAGATCTTTTGTTTGAGAGTAATCAGTGATACTTTTACAAAGAAAATGTGTTATTGCAGAGGCTAAACGAAGCCACGCTGATTAGAGTCTAAACTTGTGGTCGGAMATTCTGATTAGGAGTTCAGTCATGTGGTTGACTTCCTGATAACAGAGGTTCAGTTAAATGTTGTTCTCAACACTCTACAGCTGGGTCGCAGGAGACTGGGGCCCCTGCAGTCGCTCATGTGGTGGAGGCCAGCAGACCAGGACGCTGCGCTGCCTGAGAAAGGTGACCTACCAGAGGGAAGAGGGCGTGGCACTCTCCCTCTGCCCCGTCATCTCTCCTGCCCAGGTCCAGCCGTGCCAAACGCAGGCCTGCCCGCCAGAGTGGAGCACTGGATCCTGGTCCCAGGTGGGTTTTTAAACTTAAATGTAGTCATTAAAAACAACCAGCAAATGAAATCTGAAAAAAAAGAATACAAAACTTTTATTCTCTTTTCTTTTTTTGTTGTTGTTGTTGTCTTTGTTTTGTATATTTGCACCTAATACCCACGCCCTGTAAAAGAAAACGAAATAATTAAAAGACCAAAAAAAAGAATAATTGAATATGAAGTATAACTTTACATCTTTGCTTGAACACACTCCAAATTAAACGTGCACACAGTTCAAGAAACAAAGACAATTAGAAGCTTTCGTTACTTATTTTTAAWTACAGATAAAGTTAAACATGTCGAACCTATTTGATTTAAATTACTCCCTAGCTCGACATCCCAATGCTCAACAGAAAATTCAGCAATCATAGGTTTACAGAATGGGTGTGTGCAATTCATAACCTCCTTCTTTTGGAATATGAATGCTAGTTAGAATTCAAAAGTCAGAAAAATGATGAAAATATTTTGGTAAATAAATGATTAACCCTGTATTGTAAGCACAAACTAGAGCAAAGTGTTGGGACAGCGTAACAGAACTAAAATAAATTGATCATGGCCATTAAAAAAACTGTGTTGGGAAAAATGTTTGRATCAAAACAATATTGTGTTTGTTTTGTTTTTGTCTTCTTAGTCGTTAGTTTTTGTCCAAATGTTATGTTATTCTCAGTTTAGAATTTAGGTAAAGGTTTGCAAATCTGCATGAAATTAAAGACTTTCACTCACCTTCACAAAGTAAAATCAAGGCTATGCTGTCCTCTGCTGGTTCAATGAGACATACTGAAAGAAAACCTCTGAAAAGCCACAATATGTATGGGATAAACCATTAGATTAATACAGTATATTGTAACACACTTAACTTGTTTTTTCAAAACAGTTTTATGTTTTATTTGCACAATTGACAAGAAATGCTTTAAATAACATGCCATACTTTGTGCCAAATAAGATAATAAATGGTGTAGTTTGGATGCAGGGTTGTAGAAAGAATAACAAACAACCTTTTCCATTTATGTTATTTAAGCTAATTGTCTGATTAAACTATTTACATTTCTAGATATTACCTAATTACACATTTAAGTGCTGGAAATGCTGTTCTCGAACTGATGAGCCTCTCTCGGCTCATTTTTCTGTCTACAACATTAACAGACTGACAGCACATCCGATAGCTTGACAACTGTTGAGGAACGATTAGCCTCCTTGAGCAGCACAATCCGGATATTTGATCGTCACTCAGCCATCGGTCTTCGGGACGCTCGTGTTGTGTGCTCGCACTGTTGTCTAACGCAAGTTCAGTTGGCGGTCACGCAGAGCCGAGGCCAGGCTCCCTGAAAAGATCAATTGGATCTTTCAGTGACAAGAGGACAACTGGGATGCATGCAGTTGTGAATGCTGATGTGCAGGAGCGYGTGTRTGTGTATSTGTGTCTTTTGTCTGATAAATGAATGGGGCGCTGTCGGATAAACGGCCCCACTGGCTGCGGTCGTCAGTCCCAGCGGACCAGTTTGACTTCGCTGTCCGTCTCTCTGCAGTTCATGTGGAGTTTACAGCAGCTCGGCCTCCAGTTGGTCAACATGCTGATGGGGTCACATTCATCTCAGAGCTATTGGTTTATTGTATTTCCTGATTGGCCATAATGTGTTGCCATCAAAGCCAATGACCTTCTGTTTAGTCATCCAGCAWGTGGCGAATAACAAGTGCATTTTCTGTGTCTGTGCCAAGGATTTCACCTCCGTTAAAATGACCTAACGCTTAAACGAGATRGAAATTCAAGGGAAAAAAATGAAGGAAAAGGCTCTAAGAGTTTCAAGGAATGGGTACACGTTTATGATTTCATCTAGAGTCATTAAATCTTTGCTTAATGCATCACTAATGTCCTCAGGACCTGCTTGTGTCTTTGACATTCGTTCCGTAATGACTTCATCTGCTTCTTTCTCGTCGACTCTCAGTGCTCCAAATCCTGCGGCCGTGGCCTGAGGAAGCGGAGCGTGTTCTGCCGCAGCACTGATCCGGGGGCCAAAGCGGTGGTGGTGCCCGACAGCATGTGCAGGCAGCACCACAGACCGAAATCCCAAGAGACGTGTGTCCTGCGGCGCTGCCCCAGGAACGAGAAGCTGCAGTGGATCCCCACACCCTGGGGAGAGGTAAGCTGAGAAAAGAAAGTGACACAAAAGAAATAGAAAAAAAAAAAGAGTCATGGCAAAGCACTCTGAATGTTTTTATGAATTGTTTCTTTTGCTCTAAATGGAGAAGAAATGATTTCACTCTAAGACATTTTCAGTTTTGATGGCAGTCCCCGAGAATTAAGAAAATACGACATCATCTTCCCATTTCCATTTTTCATAAACATTTATCTGTCATTTAGTGAGAAACTCATCACGGAAAGGAGAAATGAGTTTCATCGCTCGCAGCTCCAGTAAATTAATATGCAAACCTTCACTTCATTTGGAACTATCATCACTGCTCAGCTTTATGTTCTTGCTCTGCGAGCCTTTTGGAAGGAACGCCGGTGACAACACAAACTGAGCTCAAAGTAAAGACAAAGTGTCACGCAGATAAAAAGCGGTGCAMAATTAGTGTTATACTTGACCACAGTGTGATGGCTCCTTGTTTATTTATTCTAATCTAATGGAAGGGATGTTTCATTTTTCTGACATTGTTAATGCGTTCCGTTTCAGTGCAGTTAGTTTTTTCCCCATGGCAGGAAAACACTGCCGTTATAATTTAACTGGCTAAATGAGTAATCGTCTCGTTGCGATAAATAATGAACATAATGAGTAATCAATGAYGGTCTCAGTTGTTAATTGCAAATTAAATGCACTCATCATTGTACAACAGTAGTGCTTATTATATGTATGATGGACTGTACCCGTTTGTGAAATTTCAGTGGTATTTGACTGCCTAATTGATCCTTATTGTACTGAAAACATCAAATTATGATCATTCGTCAAGATAATTATTCATTAGTCCAGCTCACATACTGTATTATTATAAAGCATTTTAAACATTGCCAGATAGTTTACCTCATGTTGATGCTGTGTAAATGTTCCAAAGCTCATCTTAAAGTATTTTATAAAGTCACGATTTTTCCAGTCTTTTTTAAACCCATAAGTAATCTCTGTCCTCTATTGTTTTCAGGTAGTTTGGAGGTGYGTTTGGGTTCACACTATAGTTGATAGTTAATACTAGAGGTATACAGCATTGGAAAAAAAAACATTGCAGTCTAACCCTTTGATGTAATATACCAGAGTATTTTAAGTTGTGCGGCAATCTGAYTGATGATGCACCTGGACTAATCTTACCTATTTTTATACATTACAAGTATGTTTTTGTCTGTRTTTGACTTATTGCTTGCTTTTATTGCGCAGGGACCTGAGCATACAGTGGGTAAAACAAGTATTGAACACGTCACATTTTCTCAGTAAATATATTACTAGAGGTGCTAATGACATGAAATTTTCACCAGATGT